CCTGTCCATGTAATATACTTTTAAACTTTTAGTTTAAAAATGATAAAAACTAAACATCCTACAGTATTTTTACAGTCTTTATTTTACAATTAAAATATATGTTTATTAAATAAAATCTAATGTTACAACTAATAGGGGATCCCTTTAATGCAGGCAACTTTAGAAATCCCTTCAGCCGCAGAAAAGCTTTAAAGCTTTACTGGCACGCCGCACGTAATCAGAGAGAGCGAATGCAACTCGTKCTGCCTTCTCCACACCTTAGATGGACGGAGACAGGTGTGTCCCCCTCGCGTCTCCCTCCCCTGAGTGCTGAGCTTTTAAAAGAAAGCACAACAAACCCAACAACTCCTCAGACCTGCAGACACAAACTGTTCACACCGTCGTACCGAGGGCCTGCGGTTGAGCTGTCTGATCATTGAGTGTTTAGGAGGAACGCAGCTTCTAACAAACTGTTTATCCACAAATATAAGTTTTTATTATAACGTTATAAAAGGATTCACAAACCTACACTGTGACAAACTTATTACACTTATTTTTCTGCAGTGGTGGGCGGCACTAATCTAAATATTAACCTTAAAGCACTAACTCACATATTTAGGTCCCCTAATTCTAAAGTACTAATGCACTGAAATATATGGCAAAAGCTAACTCGAAAGCACTAATATAATCCAGTTGACGCATGAAACATAATATCTACTGTGTGCAGAATGTTGTCACTTTGTGCCCTTGGCGGGCCAAATGGGAGTCCACATTTGGCCCGCGGGCCTTGACTTTGACACATGACCTTTTAGATAAACGACACATATGAACAAAATGTATGACACCATCGACTGTGAACAATAATGTTGATCAATTTAAAGACCTCAGTTAGTGCTTCTAAATTTAGCCCATGAGTTTAGCAAGTGCTAATCCACTAATGAATTWAAAAAAATAGCAAAAGCCCTAAAGCACTAATCAGGAAGTTAGTTCCCATATTAGTGCTTTAGGGGAACTGTGCCCACCTCTGTTTGTCTGTGAGACTAAACCTCTATCATTTGATACATTGTGACTGTGCTGGTTTGTGTTTCTGGATAGAAAATGTTTTTTTAAGCCTTGCCAACAGGAAATGACAGCAAAAGCTTCTACCACTTCCTCCTCATTTCCTTTTAGGT